CAGTGTATTTTCACACCAGCCTTATTCTTTCCTGCTTTCCACTTTTATTTCATGCTGCCAAAGGCTTCCTCTAGTATGCACTCTTAGCTCGACAAACCCAAGCCTTGTTTCCTTGCAAAAAATTCCTCCCTCACCCAGTAAATTGCTGTTTTTTTGATGTTCTGTGCACCCAGAATCCCCGTTTCCCTGGCAACCTTCAGATGACTGACAGACAACTGGATGAAGCTGGGGAGAATGATGTGAATAATTTGTAAGTTTTTTTTTTTTTTTATATATATCTGTGTATCCTATTCCTGTAACCTCTTTACTAATTCTGTGATCTAAAGGACATTGGAAATCAATTGTGAGAAACTCTTAGATAAATTGCCAGTAGTATTCAGACGCATTTAGGCATGCTGCGAACTAGTGTGCATGTGCCTAAATAGTATCTTGGATGCTAGTTTAACTGTGTTACTTTCACTTTCCAATTTTATCGCCTCTGATTTTGAGATTCCTGTCACCTTAACTTTTGAATGATTCTCTCACACTTAGACTCATACTCCCAGCATTCCATAGAACTGTACTTCATTCTTTTACCATAATCTCCATGCTTCTAATCATTCTAAATGAGCTGAGCAAATCTTCAAATGCTCTAAGATTATGAATACCCCGTGCTGAAGAGTTTGGTAATCTCAATGTCTTAATTCCTGTTTTCAATGAAAACATAGTAAGTGTGAATTCATATTAATGGTTTGCCTGAGTAGAGACTCCTACACCTATGCACCCTAATTGTAAATATAAAGAGACCATGTCTATAGTGAATCGTGCATATTCAAGCATTTAAACAAAGTGGACTTGGCAATATTTTGATATTTGTAGTACTTCTTTTAAGTTTGATGAAATAATAATTGCAGGTGTCCAAAAATATCCATGTCTACAATACCCAGTGGAAAAAGTGTAGCCATGTCTTTATACTCAATGAAACTTTTCAAAAAATATAAAACTTGCCTTAATTTTCTCATTTGTTTTTAAACTGGACCCATAACTGACCCATTACACTGTGCTTGAGTTTTGCTTGTAGTGGCTGGGTCCATGCCTATTTGCTGTTAAAATATCTCTGAACTCAAAAGCCATTGCCAAGTGTTAAAAGCTTTAATAAAAATGATGCACTGGGCTTGTCATAAAACCTGGCTGTTGCTTACACTCTTTCTGAGTCTGCAAGTGATATCACACATTCCCCCATGCACTGCCCAAATACAAAATAAATAGAAATCACTGTTTAGTAGATATAACCCAAATGAAAACTTTTATGCATTTATTTATGCATTGTTTCATTGGAGTTATATCTAAAAACAGCTTGCAAAACCTGCAGATCTCTTGTCTGCTGCCTTTGCAAACCCTCCTCTTCTAATCCTGCCTAGACTTTCTGTGACTGTAATCGCAGACTTCCCAATGCAGCTCAATGAGAAGTCAGAAGGCAGATGATCTGAGCTATTGCTGCCTCGAGTTTAGTGCAAATAAGCTAACTAAATCAGGAAGGATATGTTGTCTGCTTGAAAAGTGAGTGGAGTGTAACCTGTATGATTTATAAAAGTGTACATTTCTATTGTAAAGTGCACTTTTTGCAAAATGAAAAAAGTGCACACACTCTTTCAGCAAGCTAAAGTGCTTTAGAGGTCCGTCGTGTCCCTTTAAGCACATACAATGCAGGAAGCATTTGCTCTGGGTCTACTTTGTACCAGTTCCAGGGTGTCTAGCTTTATAATATCTGGGGACCACAATGTGTGTAATTCCTTTCCCGAGGCCTAACCTTCATTGTCCAGTTTTGGAATCACTGGATAGAATAAACATAA